TGTTCGCTGATTGGGTCGCCTTCCCTCCCGATTCCAAGGGCGGGCATGCCGAGTTCTGCGAAGTGAGTCATGGTGAGTGAGACCCCCTCTGTGCCGCTTTCCCTTCTCTTTCTGACGCTGGGTGCCCGCCGGCGTCCGCAGCGGCTCTCTTGCCTTCCTCTTTGCCTCGCTTCCGTGTGTCTTTCGGCCGGAGTTTGGCGCCGACACGGCGACTTCCGCGCGCCGCTACAGTGCACATGGTTAGCCGTGCAGCAGTTGCTACCGCTCGCTGCGTCGTGTTACCCACACACCGGTGCGACTTCTCCACGCTGGTCGCACCTACCGCTGCACGTCGCGGCGTGGCGTCTCCACCCGTCGAGATGTCGTCGTCGGTTTGCTGTGCTCAATTCGGGTCATTTTGTCCCTTGCATCACCATTAATGAGGGTCATTTTGTCCCTTGCACGTGCACTCGCCTTTGCGGCTTACGCGCTGCTTTGGCTAATTATGTACGGCCTGCGCCCCAGTCGTCCATCCCGCTTCTTGACACTTGTCCTGGAGCCGCCAACCAAAAAAGTATCCCCACCAGCAAATTGCTTTCGCCGCCTGACCCTTGTCTCGCGGCCGCGACCAAAAAAAATATCCCCACCTGCCCATCCAGCAGCGATGCCCAGGCGAGTTGAGGTGTTGTTGTGAGAAGTTCTAGGAGGTCTCTTGTAGCCATCTTGGGGCTCTCTTGGGGTCCTGTTGGGGTCCTCTTGGGGTGCTCTTGGGGCCCTCTTGGGGCTCTCTTGGGGCCCTCTTGGAGCTCTTTTGGGGCAATATTGGGGCCCTCCCGGGGCTGTTTGTGGGGGCCACAGAGGTCTCTTGCAGGGTTCTTGCTCCGCTGTGGTCTCCATACTCCTCCTGCCTCCTCGCTTCTCTCCTGGCCGCTGGCGCAGCAACTCCTCGCCCAGCCATCCCTCTTCTGTGGAGTCAGCGCTCCTGTCTTCCAGGCGGGATGGAAGGCGCGTGATGTTACAGGGCTTCCCAGCACCAGGACGCTCGGCCCGCAGTGCGTTCAATAGCAGAAACCCATGTTTTCGAGAGCGGAAAATGTCTGCACACCGCGAAGAGCAGGTCTGTACATAAGCTCAGTGCTCTTCCCTCCGAGGCGGGATTTGTACATGACCGCCGCCCGCAGGATCCATTTTCGGGGACCCCGGCAGGCGGTGGACATGGACATGTTCAGGCTCCCGGGGGCCAAAACGTGTCCATCTCCACCGCCCGCTGGGGCACCAGGACGTTGCGCCCCAGGCAGTGGATCTGGATGAACCCCCGCCTCGCATTCTCGCCACCGATCCAGCGCCGCCGGGCCGCTCCACGCTGCCACGTTTGGCAGCGCCCTGCCGCCTCGACGGCGACGGGCCGCCTCGCCGCCGGGCCGCGTCGCGGCAGACCTTGTGTGGTCGACGGCGGAGCCGTGGCCTCTCTCGCGTCTGCCGCGGCGCGGCGGCGTCCGGGGCCTCGGGCACGGCGGCGGAGGACAGTGGCGGAAGCTGGGCGAGGGCCGGCATTAAGTCGGGCATGTTTTCTACGGGAGGCATCTGCAAAAATCGTGGAACAAATGGTCTGGGGACGATATGTTTGATTGTTGGTCCTGTTGGTGTGTTTTTAGAATTCTTTCGCTAAAAATCCGCTTGTAGGGGGATATGCCCGACCTAAGGCTGGCAAAGACGTGGCTGCCAAAAGAGTCTCCCCGGAAGATCAAAACAAGTGCCCAGAATACAATTCAGCGCGCTAAAGTAAACGGGCTGCCTCCCGGAAGAAGAAGAAGAAGAAGAAGTAGAAGCAGTTTCCTGGAGCTCCGTTTTAGCAGCCACGGGTTTGCCAGCCTTCGCCTGGCGTCTGACACTGGCCCCTCAGTGTCTCAGCATGTCTCCGGGCGCTTGGGCGAGGAGACGCCAGCTGAAATGGGGCTCGGGCGCGGCGTACCTGCTACACAAGCATGTGGCGGACTCACAGCACGATGCTTGCCCAAGGGGACCTCCAAGAGGACCCCGAGAAGCAAACATATGTTCTCTCGTTCAGGCAATCTTTTTCCTAACCATCCTGTGGTGTTGGGTCCTCGTTTTGAAGAGACGGTGCCCCGCGTTCCTCTCCTCTCCTCTCCTCTCCTCTCCTCTTCTCTCCTCTCCTCTCCTCTCCTCCTCTCCTCTCCTCCTCTCCTCTTCACCCACCCAGTACACCGTTTCGTGGCCCCATAGGGAGCTCCACCGAAGGCCCCAGTGCCCGCGCCCGCATGCGTCACCCACACCCAATTCGGCACACCCCTCACACGTTTCGTGGCTCCATAGGGAGCTCCACCGAAGGCCCCAGTGCCCGTGCCCGCATGCGTCACCCACACCCATTTCGGCACACCCCTCACACGTTTCGTGGCTCCATAGGGAGCTCCACCGAAGGCCCCAGTGCCCGCGCCCGCATGCGTCACCCACACCCATTTCGGCACACCCCTCACACGTTTCGTGGCTCCATAGGGAGCTCCACCGAAGGCCCCAGTGCCCGCGCCCGCATGCGTCACACACACCCATTTCGGCACACCCCTCACACGTTTCGTGGCTCCATAGGGAGCTCCACCGAAGGCCCCAGTGCCCGCGCCCGCATGCGTCAGCCACACCCATTTCGGCAAACCCCTCACACGTTTCGTGGCTCCATAGGGAGCTCCACCGAAGGCCCCAGTGCCCGCGCCCGCATGCGTCAGCCACACCCATTTCGGCACACCCCTCACACGTTTCGTGGCCCCATAGGGAGCTCCACCGAAGACCCCAATGGCGGCGCTCACATGCGCATGCGTCCCGCACACCCATTTCGGCACATCCCTGACAGGTTTCGTGGCCCCATCATCCACCGGAGGCCCCAGTGGCGGCGCCCACATGCGTCACCCACACCCACCCAATTCGGCACACCCCTCACACGTTTCGTGGCCCCATAGGGAGCTCCACCGAAGGCCCCAGCGGCCGCGCTCAAATGCGTCCCCGCCACCCATTTCGGCACGCCCCTCACAACAACAGGTTTCGTGGCCCCATAGGGAGCTCCACCGAAGGCCCCAGTGGCACCGCCCGCATGCGTCACCACCCGCACCCAATTCGGCACACCCCTCACACGTTTCGTGGCCCAATAGGGAGCTGCACCGAAGGCCCCAGTGGCGGCGCTCACATGCGTTCCCGCCACACATCCCAGTACACCCCTCACGCGCTTCGTGGCCCCATAGGGAGCTCCACCGAAGGCCCCAGTAGCGGCGCTTACATGCGTTTCCGCCTCCCATCCAGGGCCCACCCATCCCGCAGCAGCATCATGGTTTCGGGTGACCCTAGGGAGTCCACTGGAGGCCCACTAGTGGGGGGGTGCGGGGGGGCCCCCGGAGCACATGCGTTTCGCCCCATGTCGGCACGCCCCGCGCGTGTTTCATGTCCCCATAGGGAGCTTCGCCGAATGCCCCAGTGGCACCCATCTCGGCACACCCCTCACATGTTCCGTAATCCTATGCGGAGTTCCATTGAAGATGAAACCCGCAGCTGCCGTACTGACAACTGCATATGGTTGGGTTCTTCGCCAGGCTAATTTTGTTGGCCAGATTCGTTCCTGAAGTGAACGATGTCTACGACAACCCAAGAGACCCCCAGGACGGCCCGAGAGGTCCTCAAGGCAGCCCCAAGTCAGCTTATGAGGGCTGCAAGACGGCTCAAGAAGTTCGCGAGACAGCCCAAGAGAGACCCAAGAGCGGCCCGAGAGGGGGAAACCGAGCTCGAATTTCGAGCTTCCCGTCCCCCCACAGGAGGCCCGAGGCCGCCGACATGTTCCGAAGAAACTCCCATGGCCAATGGAGGGCCCAAAGAGGCCCCAAATTACAAGTCGGGCGAGTCTCTCGACAGGGGGAACATTCAAAACCAGTCAAAACATAGTCAGGGGACGATGTTTTGATAATTCTGTGTGTCTGTGTGGCTATTTGGGGGTATGTGCTGACTTTGTTTAATTTGCCCAAAATCCCCCTGTAGGGGGACATGCCCGACCGAAGGCTTCAGAGGTCCCTGTGAGACGCTCCCGAGAAGGGTTTTGGGCCCTCTCCTCAACTGAGCTCCCTGCGAATGCCGACCGTGCGCCGCAAGAGCCCCCACGACGCCCCTGGAGGCGCGGAGGGCCCGCCCCGCAGGCTCCAAGAGACCCCGGCATGCTTCAGGACGCCAGCGGGCTGCGTGGGCACCCGTTTTCCCAACCATCCTGTTGTGTTGGGTCCTCAGTTTTGAAGAGACGCTCGATGCACCGCGTCACTTCCTCATCCTTCCGTTGCCTTGCCCTCCCTCTCACACCACCATCATAGGTCATCATACTCCATTTCGGGAACACCCCTCACACGTTTCGTGGCCCCATAGGGAGCCACACCGGAAGGCCCCTGTGCTGCCGCCAGCGATTGGCGTCCCGCCCAGTCCAATTCGGAACACCCATCAAAGTTTCGTGGCCCCTAGGGAGCCCCAACGAAGGCCCCAGTGATGCCGCCCGCATGCGTCCCGCACACCCAATTCGGCACACCCCTCACACGTTTTGTGGCCCCATAGGAGCCCCACCGAAGGCCCCAGTGCTGCCGCCCGCATGCGTCCCCGCATCAACCCATTCGGCACACCCTCACAACGTTTTCGTGGCCCATATGGGAGCCCCGGGCCCATAGGGAGCCCTACCGAAGGCCCCAGTGCTGCCGCCCGCATGCGTCCCGCACACCCAATTCGGCACACCCCTCACACGTTTCGTGGCCCCATAGGGAGCCCCACCGAAGGCCCCAGTGCTGCCGCCCGCATGCGTCCCGCACATTCAAGTCGGCACACCCCTCACACGTTTCGTGGCCCCATAGGGAGCCCCACCGAAGGCCCCAGCGCTGCCACCCGCATGCGTCCCGCATACCCAAGTCGGCACACCCCTCACACGTTTCGAGGCCCCATAGGGAGCTCCACCGAAGTCCCCGTGCTGCCGCCCGCAGCGTCCCGCACACCAATTCGGCCACAACCCTAACACGCTTCGTGGCCCCATAGGGTGCCCCACAGAAGACACAGTCTGCCGCCGCTATCGTCCCGCACACAAATTCGGCACACCCTATCACGTTTCGTGGCCCCATAGGATAGCCCCACCGAAGGCCCCAGTGCTGCGCCTAGCATGCGTCAAGCACACCCAATTTCGGCACACCCTCCTTACGTTTTTCGTGGCCATAGCAGGGAGCTCCTCCGGAAGGCCCCTGTGGCGGGCCCCGCATACGTCACCCCACACCCATCCAAGTCGGCACACCCCTCACACGCTTCGTGGCCCCATAGGGAGCTCCACCGAAGGCCCCAGCGGCCGCGCTCACATGCGTCCCCGCCACCCATCCCGGCACGCCCCTCACAACAACAGGTTTCGTGGCCCCATAGGGAGCTCCACCGAAGGCCCCAGCGACACCGCCCGCATGCGTCACCACCCGCACCCACTTCGGCACACCCCTCACACGTTTCGTGGCCCCATAGGGAGCTGCACCGAAGGCCCCAGTGGCGGCGCTCACATGCGTCCCCGCAACACATCCCAGTACACCCCTCACGCGCTTCGTGGCCCCATAGGGAGCTCCACCGAAGGCCCCAGTAGCGGCGCTTACATGCGTCTCCGCCACCCATCCCGGCCCCCCCCCGCAGCAGCATCATGTTTCGGGGACCCATAGGGAGCTCCACTGGAGGCCCCAGCGGCGGCCCTCACATGCGTTTCCGCCACCCATGTCGGCACGCCCCGCGCGTGTTTCATGTCCCCATAGGGAGCTTCGCCGAATGCCCAAGTGGCACCCATCTCGGCACACCCCTCACACGTTCCGTAGTCCTATGGGGAGTTCCGCTGAAGGTGAAACCCGCAGCTGCGGTACTGACAACTGCATATGGTTGGGTTATTCGCCAGGCTAGTTTGACGCGTGGTTCCAAATAGCCCTGCGCTCTCACACACATACACACACCACACACACGCACGCACGCACGCACGCGCACACACACACACACACACACGCACACACACACACCCACACCCACACGCACACGCACACGCACACGCACACGCACGCGCACGCGCACGCGCACGCGCACGCGCACGCACACGCGCACGCACACGCACACGCGCACGCGCACGCGCACGCGCACGCGCACGCGCACGCGCACGCGCACGCGCACGCGCACGCGCACGCGCACGCTCACGCGCACGCTCACGCGCACGCACACGCACACGCACACGCACACGCACACGCACACGCACACGCACACGCACACGCACGCGCACGCGCACGCGCACGCGCACGCGCACGCGCACGCGCTCGCGCACGCGCACGCGCACGCGCACGCGCACGCGCACGCGCACGCGCACGCGCACGCGCACGCGCACGCGCACGCGCACGCGCACGCGCACGCGCACGCGCACGCGCACGCGCACGCGCACGAGCACGCGCACGCGCACGCGCACGCGCACGCGCACGCGCACGCGCACGCGCACGCGCACGCGCACGCGCACGCGCGAACGCTTGTGCGCACGCTACACGCACACGCACACGCACACGCACGCGCACACGCACACGCACACGCACACACGCACGCACACGCACGCGCACAACGCACGCACAGCGCGCACAGGCGCACACACACGCGCACACACACGCACACACACGCACACATGCACACCCACGGCCACACACACACGCCCACACACACACACGCACACGCAAACACGCACACACGCACCCGCACACGCACACACACACACACACACACGCACACGCACACGCACACGCACACGCACACGCACACGCACACACACGCACACACGCACACACGCACACACGCACACACGCACACACAAACACACACACACACGCACACACACATACCACACGCACAACACACACACACAACACACACAGAGCCGCGCCTGGACGGCGCATGGGCAGGGAGGCTGGCAACGTGCAACACATGTGCATCAGAACTGGATTCGTGCAGACGCGCCCCCGCTGTGCCTCGGCCACGTACACTGGAATCCTCTGCCCCAGCGAAGCGCGAAGGTATGCAACAGAAAGGCGAGGACACTTCAGGGTCGGCCACCTCGGCAGTCGCTTGCGCGGCGGGGGAGATCCCGGGAGCCGCTCGACGCGCGTCCCGAGGTGCTCCCGGGCTCTCCTGCGCCCGCTCCCAGCGCCCGAGGTTGTCCCCCAGAGGGCCTGGCTCCCTCACGCGACAAGGGTGGCTCGGTCAGGGGGCCACGTGCGAACCCGACCCCTACCCCCCATGATTTCTGAGGGGGAGGGTGGGGTTCACCTCGCTCGGAAGCTCCCAGACGAAGTGAACCCCACCCTCCCCCCAGAAATCGTGGGAGGTAGGGGTAAGGTTCGCATGTGGCCCCCTATCGGTGGCGAGCGAGAGGGGGAATTCAGAAGGAGAAGGAGAAGGCCTTCTCAGAAGGCGGCCGGACTTCTCAGAAGCCCGCCAGCCTTCGGAGAAGTGTTTTGCGTATTCTGGGAGTGCTCAGGGAACTTCTCAGAAGGCCGAGGGACTTCCGAGCCTTCTGAGAAGGCCCTCTCTTTCTCACTTCCCCCCCTCGCTCGCCGCCGAGTGGCCTGCGGCCAGGGGACCTCTCCCCTGGTGTCTCTTGGAGTTATGGACCCGTGCAAGGCCTACTGACAACGACGGCCGAGTCGACTAGTACATAAGCACGCGTAGCGCGTGCGGCCAATGCAGTCTGGTGCGCGCGTATGTGTGTGCATTGGTGTAGATGTAAGCGATATGTTTACATTCACATGTGTGTATATATATATATATGCATGTGTGATAGCTGATTAAGTACACAACACAAATTCACAATCATAGAGGTCTCTTGGGGCAGTTTTGGGCATCATGGCTCAAAAGAGGGGGGGCCCTAAATTCCCCCCCCCGAGGCTCAACAAAATGCGTTTTGGGGCCCTCTTGGGGCGGTCTTGGGGCGCTCTTGGGCTGTCTTGGGGCCCTCGCGGGGCCCTATTGAGCCCCTCTTGGGGCTCTCTTGAGCCATCTTGGGGCCATCTTGACGCTTCCTCGTCATCTTCACAATCACCCATCATCACAACCATACGCTCTATGCTCGTCGCCATCTTCGCGCGCGTCTTTACCATCACTGCCACTACAATCTTCATCATCAGCCTCGTCATCGTCGTCACCATCACCGTCATCACCACCATCACCCATCATCAACGCCGTACCCTACATCATCCTCATCGCCATCATCCTCGTCCTCCTCGTCCTCTCCCGGCTCCTCCATTGCCCCCTCCCCCTCCTCGATCAGATTCGCTCATATACATATGCCCGTCCTCCCTCCTCGCTCTCCTCCTCCTCCCCCCGTGTTGCCTCCTCCCCCTAGCAGGATGTTCGCAGGAATCCAGAGAAGGGTAGCGGAGTCAACGCAGGAAGGGGAAGGAGTTAACTCAGCGGGGATTCTGCTTCAACTCCGGAAGGGGACGGGCTGGAGGAGAGCGTCAATTGCAGGATATGGGGAGGTTGGGTTAATTCGGGAAGGGGAGGGGAGTTAATTCTTGACGCTTCGCGTATCCCCACCAGCCCATCCAGCAACGATGCCCAGGCGAGTTGAGGTGTTGTTGTGAGAGGTTCTCGGAGGTCTCTTGTAGCCATCTTAGAGCTTTCTTGGGATCCTCTTGGGGTCCTCTTGGGGTCCTCTTGGTGCCCTCTTGGGGTCCTCTTGGGGCAATCTTGGGGCTCTTTGGGGGGTCAGAGAGGTCTCTTGGGGCTGTTTTGGGCCTCGTGGCTCAAAAGAGGGGGGTCCTAAATTCGTCTCTTCCTTCTCTTGCTCCTCCTTGTCCTCCTCCGCCTCCTCCACCTCCTCCTCCTCCTCCTCCTCCTCCTCCTCCTCAGCTGCCGGTTCAGACGTGCACTGCGCGCGGGCAGCCCGCTCCAAGGTAGGAAGCCTTCCCTTTCAGGAGCGAGGATACTGTACCTCACTTCCCTCTCTTGCAGGAGGCCTACTGCTTGCATGAATCGAGGTGGGAGGCTACTGGCTTCTGTGCTGACGGAGAGGATCATGCGAGTGTGCACATACAGCCCGTTGTCTGCATCGCACGAGCGGCATGAAGACATATCCAGCGAGCTGGGATCGTGGGGCGTGGTGCTTGTTTTTGGTACATGCCATGTTGCACAGCCCGATCACGGAGCGCAGCAACATGCACACGCACGACACTGGGGAGTGCACTTTGGGAAGAGGAAGGAAAACTAGTGTCGGACGCGTGCGGGGTCACGATATTGGTACACAATCGGATACCTAGTCGAGCATTGCACACTGTATTCGTACCTCCAGTGCAAATTCGTGGGCGGGTGGGCGGCATACGTATTCAGACAAACGAAGTTGACTTCGTGGCCTTCTGTATCTACCTCGCCCCGATGAGTGATGCGAAGCACACGCTGATTGCTGAAAGGGTGTTCAAGTGGATAGACCAGCAGTTGGATGCACTGGGGGTTCGATGTGCAATTATTATAGGAGGGGGCGTGAATAGCGGACTAGGAATACACAGACGACGATGGTACCATGCAGCGGACAAGAAGTGTAACCTTAGGAGGAAAGAACCTTTGCTGCGAGAACGAGAACGGTCGTGCATACAGAGAGTTCTGCTACAAGAGCGGGCTGGCAGTGGTCACTGCATTCTACGAGCATGGGCCCACCTTCTACGGCCCCAAGGGGCAAGAGTCACACATTGATCACGTGGCTGTCCCTATAGGGGCCATCCCGCGTGTCTCCCAGTGCAGCTGCCTGTATAGAGCAGCAAAATGACTCCAGATGATCCCAGATAGAAGGTTCAGGGACCACATCCCGATAGGAATGCACGTCGAGATGTCAGTCACCAACCACGGGTGCCCGACAGGTGACAATGACGAGATAGATCGGGGGTGCTTGATGAGGTGCCTGCAGAAAGGCTACAGAATAGAAGAGCTGTTCACAAAGATAGATGAGCAGATTAAAGAGGTACCTCTAGATATCTGGGAGCAGCTGCATTCGAATAAGTCCCCTGATTTCTGATGGAAAAAGTACGTGGGGTGTGTATGAGCGCGGCGTTGCACGGCGCATTCAAGCAGGGCGCGCGCAACAATGACAGTGCATGCAGCACGATGCGCACGAGGAGGATGCAGCTACTGGAGGAGAGGAGGCAGCACAGAGAAGGACTACACGAGGAAGGCACAGAGGCTAGCAGGATGGAGGTGGAAAGAACTAAAATGAGTGACGGCAGCGCTGAAGGAGCTGAGAGAAGCACGCGCAGCAGCAGAGCGAGAAGGCATCGTTCGAGAGACCTGGGAGGCACACAGGGGGAACAGGTTCGCTGACATGCATAGACCCAGGGTAGAGTATCAGCGTAACGGGCGGGGGCCAAAAAAGAGGTTCTACCTCGGCCACCGTTGTCACCGGTCAGGCGAGCAGCGGAGAGAGGAGCTAGGTCGTGACCCACATGACGGAGGGCTAGCGTGCACCCCGCTCGATTGGGAACGGACTAGGCAGGATTGCGCGAAAGACTGCGAGCTACACGATGGTGGCTTTTTTCCTCCCCCCGGATGGTGATCCAGAAGCTAGGGTGCAGAAAGATCTCTGGGCCATGAAATCGTACTGCAGACAGGCAAAAAAACGACGTGCATACATATCCAGAGTGGGGGCTCCCTGTTGAAATGGCGCGGATGCTGATTGAGCCAAATATAAACGTGTCTGGGCCAACCGAGCAAACAAAGATACTAGAAGCTAAGAGGATAAGAGAAGCTGACAAAGAGGAAGATGAGGAAGAGCTCGAGAATCACAGCACGCACTTCCTCCCAGCCAAAGGACGAAAGATCCTACAGAAGTTAGGTTGGACCCCAGGTGAAGCAGTAGGAGCACGCCAGCGAGCAGCAGGAGAGCCAGCACAAGAAGTTATTGTGGACCCCCACTGGCAGTTTGGCAGAACGGAACTATCGGGAGTTGGAATGCCTCTACTTAAAAGTAGAGTACGAGGCACCGAAGATGTTGCTGAAGATTATGGAGCACTTCAGACAATGCCGGACTATGCCACTAGACATGCTACGATCGCACAGCTTTGCAGCAGAGAAAGCGAATAATAATATAGGCATAGCGGGGAAGCGCATCATGCACGCATACTGCGCAGCTAGCATGGCATGGCGCAGTGGGATCCACCGAAGGGCGCTGACTTTTGCTCGACCTCACTTTGCACATGGAGGGCTAGCGCGTAGGTCGCGAGAGAATGCAGTGCTAGTATTGCTGGCCACGAAGTGGAGATGCGAACAGGCAGGGAGATCGCCAATCATGAGCAATTTTGACCGCACAAATGCATTCGCGTCGACCGACAGAGCGTTACTTCGAGAACAAATAGATCGCACCACCGAGGAGCATGACACCCCGTACGCCTACGGAGCGCTGGGGCACGCAGCTTTGTCCCTACAGGCAGCCGACGAAAGAGTTGACCTGGAACGCAACAGAGGGGCCCAGATGGGCTTCACGCTGGCTCCGCGTGACTTTAACGATAGCTACAACCCAATCGTCACAGGCTGGCTAGAGGGAGAGGGAGAACAGGAAGGACAGCAGGTGAACGATACTCAGCACCCTATAAATGAGCAGTATTACGACTCGAGCATTAGCACCTTCATGGATGATATCACTAAGATTACGATGCTACCTATCGCAGCAAGAAAAGAAGAAGTGGTAGAGCAGCTGAACCTGGTAAGCGGTAGACTTGAGAAGGCACTAACAGCAGGAAGCTGGCGCCTCAACCCTGACAAGACAAACCGCCTTCTAGTCTTACGAGGTGAACGAAGCTACCAATGCACTCGAGCGCTGAGGAAGCAGACGAGTGGACTCAGGGGAGAGGCCTTGCGAGGGATGAGAGTGTTAGGGCCCTACGTACCTTCGGGCCAGGGGCTAGGAAACGAGATAAGGAGACGCTGCGACGCAGCAAGAGCAGCATGGAGACAGCGCAGCACGTTCTGGTCGCCCAAGACTTCGAAGGTTATCAAGCGTAGCATGTTTATGGCATTTGTCGCGGGCGCAGCATTGAGCGGGTTATCATGTTTCGTGACAAGTAAGAAGTGCACGGATGCGATCGACGCTGCTCTGTGCAGGCTACTCAGTTACTTGTCGAGGGGAAAGAACTGTTGGACTGATGGGCAAGGAAGGAAGAGGACAACGACGTTGGAGGAGGTGTTCAGGGATTGGAGGATCAACAGGAGCGCAGACGAGCTGAGAGTCAGAAGGTTAAAGTGGTACAAGCGCTGGTCGCAATTCCCGAACGACCACGAGGCAGTCCTAGCAGCAGTATTCGGCACGTCCAAGAGCGACCAGAGTATAGGGGTAAAGCGCATCAATGAGCACAAGAACATGAGGCAGTCCACTCCGTGGGCCAGGCAGTATCTGGAGGACATGCGCTACCTAGCTAACCATGACGAAGAATTTAACGAGCGGCACGATAACAAGGTCGAGCGACATGAGTTTATTTACAGAAGGAATTGAAGAAAAAGAGAAGTGGCTTAAGACTGACCCTTCAGTGTTGAACAGCATTGATAGATAATGGTAACAAAGTAGACCAGACAGAAACCAAAGAGCCCGAAGCAGACAACCCAGCAGAACTGGATAAAATATTCTGGCGTGGTTTCAAGAGTGAGAACTCGGAGGGGGCAGATGTAGCGCGCGGATGTAGATTTCGGACAGCAGCGGCACTGGCAGCGCGCAGGAGATTACAGCACAATATAGAACCGCTCATACCTAAGCTTGTGATCACGAACCAGTGCCCGTGGTGCAGATCGAATTTTTCCAGCAAGAGAGTAGCAACACGTCATGCAGCAAGAGCGGCAGAGGGGACGGGCACCTGCTACATTGCTTTCTCGAAGGGGGAACAGAAGCTGATAGAAGTAAGAGGGAGCGAGTTGATCTGTAGTGTTTGCCAGTGTCAAGCTAGCAGCTTCGAAGACTTCCAGACGCGCGCCGCTTGCCACCATCCTGGACCGCACACAGTACGGTTTGGCAGAGATGAGAGTGTCCTGGGCGTCGGCGAAGAAGAAGAGGGCGGTGGAAGGGGCCAGCGGAGCGGACAGCAGCAGTGGGGGCCAGCAGCTATCTGGGAAAGGAGGAGGTGGCAGGGGGCACAAGCAAGTGAGAGCAGGCAACGTCGCCGCAGCCCCCGAACTCCAGCAAGCCTTGGTCGCTGCCCAGAAGTCAACCCTCCGCGTAGCGGCAGAGCAGAGAGACAGGGCCAACATATGCACCGAGTTCTGGATCCTTCCTCGCGCGGCCTCAATCGTTCGATAAGGTTTCGAGGCTGGGCAGGGGTACCACCAGGCAGTCAAAGAAGCGGGAGAGGGTCGCAAGCTCCCCCCCCCCCACGCGCACATAGCGGCGGGGGTGGTCGGGGCGATGCACGACGCGTTCGGGGACGAGGGGTCCGAGGGAGAAGCCAAGAAGGTACTCGCGTCGTGGATGGAAGCAGCAGGCCCAGAGGAGTACGGGAAAGCATGCGTGGACGAGTTTTTCAGGATGTTCCGTCTGCGGGAGTGCTACAGCCCAGACGGAGCGCCAGAGCAGGAGCGCAAGGCAAAACTTCAGTACTCGCTCAACATGAGCCCCGGCCTCAGGACGGTGATCCACCTGGCCACGGGACCCCCAGCACAAGTGCCCACGGTAGACATGAGATCCTTCCAGGGCGCCTTCACCTTGGGGTTGATCAAAGCGGGGGGAACCCAGCCGACGGGAGCGGGACCCAGGACGGAGTTGGAGAGGACAGTGGAGCGCCAGCTGGGGAATTTCCAGAGAGTGTGATGCAGCGCGCGCGCGTGCTGGCCCGTGATCCTCGGAAGCTCGCGAATCTCTACAAGATGCGGGACAACGGGGTGCAGAGAGTCGGGCAGCTAGTCAGAGCAGTAGAATTCGTTAGGCGCCAGATGTCCCAACAGTTGCAATATACGTATTCAAGTGGACAGTAATTTTTGTTTACGGATGACGCACAGTACCACATGAAAGGAGAGAGAAGGGAGATATGTTGTTGAGTGTAGCCGTCTCGATCGAGCTGCAGGGGGACCGCGCCGTGCAGTTTACATTGTGATTGCTTGTATTGCTGTGAGCCATGGCGTCTGGGCCAGCACCCTCAGCGGGAGCGGCTGCAGCGGCGGGGACGGCGCCGATTGTTGCTACGGGTGCCAACGCAGTTCCAGTCCCACGTCAGCCGGCAGGACCCCCTCCTGGGCCGATCCGCTCGAAGGCAGCCCCGACCCGCAGGAACCATAATGACGACCTGGGGAGAGTGCATGCAGCGCAGCAGGCCCACCTCTCGACGGGCCGCATCCTGCGCGATCATTATTCTATCATTCTTGGTCAGTGCAGTCTCCTGAACAGCCAGCTCAGTTACATCCAGCTCCAGAGGGATAATATCATGTCCCCAGTCGTGAATGACACGCATCTCGAGGCTGACCGCGTCACCACGCGTCGCAACTTAAACAGTCAGATAAGCTACCTGAGGGACGAGCTGGACCGTCTGCATGAATGCGTAAGGGTGCTAGATGAGTCTGACTTCGGAGTGCAGCGTTTCGACTGGGAGATTTCGAGGCCGAGCGGGGGCAGTGAGCGGGAGGAGGGGCAGTAGCTAGAGCCAGCGCGCGTAGCTTCCCCTCCCTCCGAGAGAGTCTGCTGCTGCCGCTCGCCCCCCCCCCCCCCCCCCCTCCGAACGGGCTGGGCCACGCCGACCCGCGCGGGCTGCTGCTGCACGGCCAGCAGGACAGCCCACGGACGCTGCGGGGGAGGGTGGGTGAGACGGCCAGTCAGTCAACACTTCTCGAACCGATTTTTTCCTCTCTCTCTCTCTCTCTCTCTCTCTCTCTCTCTCTCTCTCTCTTTTCTCCCAGGCCTCTCGAGGCCAGAGATGCATCAGCATGGGGCGCGTGGCTCGCCCCATGAAGGGGCGGCCCCCCCCCCGAGTTTGAGGTTTCAAATCGCGACGGGGGCCTCTGCCGAAGCGGCAGCGCTTGCAGCGAGAGGCTGCGGCGTTCGCCGTAGGCGGCAGGGGGGGGACAGGCGCGCGTCCCATCCTTGTTTGCTTCCATATCTTTCCTAGGGGCCCGACTAGCTGCAAGCGGATCGGACATGGCCCCCAACAGCTCCACCACCACCACCACCTCCTCCTCCTCCTCCCCACCTCCTCCTTTCCTCCGCGGCCCTGGCCTCCGCCCGCTCGGTAATCGCGTAAATTCGCAAAGTCGTAAACCAGCACGTGGCTCGTTGCGCGTTTAACGCTGGGGCCGTTTCCGCGCAAATCGGCCAGTGCGGGGAAACCGCTACTTCGCGAAAGCCGCCCGGTTTACGACTTGACGAGTTTTCCCGTTTTCGCGCACGTCGGCCATTGCGGGAAAAGTGCTATGTTACGCGAAAGCCGTCTGGTTTACGACTTTACGGGTTTTCCCGTTTTCGCATTTTTGGCGGGTCGCCCGCTTGCGGCCCCCCCACTGCTCCTCGCCGGCACAGGCGGGAGGGGTGGAGGGCGGGGGGGATGGAGGGGGGGGGGGGAGTCGGAGGGCGCCCGCGCCCACCCGAGCTCAGCCTCAGCCCGCCCCATGCAATAGCACGCGAAAGTTGCGAGCGGGCAACGTTTTATTGCAAGTGCGAAAATCATGCGCACTTTCACCCACGCGCAAGTTTTGCATCCAGTGCGCAAACTATTTGATCCAGGCGCCAACTGCTGCAATTACTATTGCACATCTCCCCGCGTTTTCCCTTATCTCCGCCTCGTCTCATCTTCTTCTCTTCGCGCTCCTCCGCGAAGGGCTGCGCCGACTTAGAGCGCCAAAGTGCTAAGCAGCAAGGCGTTGCTTAGACAGGCCCAGGGGTAGGAGTCGATGCGATGTGGAGCTCGTCCGCGCAACATTTTTTTCACTTGCGCTGGGTGCGGGCGCTCCATGGGCTGGCGAGTTCTTGCCGCCCATACTCAGCAAGAGTCCGGTTCGGCGGCGGGCCGGCTCGGTTGCAGCGGTTCGGTTTCGGCGCCAGTCCGGTTTGAGCCGGTTCGGTTTTCCTCGGGGCGGTTCGGCCCCGGGCGGCCCCGTTCGGGCGTTCGAAAAGTTGGCGCGCCAACGAGTATTGTTGCGCGTTGCGGCCGCGGATCGAACCGCGCACAAAACACGAGCAGGGGCGGGGGGGGGGAGGGGGGGGAAGAGGAGGAAGAGGAGGAAGGGAAGGGAGAGGGGGAGCAAGAGGGGGAGAGGGAGGAGCGAAGGCAGCGGCGACGATGAGGGCGGCGCCCCGACGGCTTGAGCGCCGACGGCGCCGTCCCCGACGGCGCGATTTCGGCTTCTGGAGGGGGGGTTGTTTTCGAGCCCTGGAGCCGTCGCGCTCGGATGAGCCGTCGCGGGCAAAAATGCAGATCGTCTGATATCTAAATGAGGGCGTTGCCTCGCTTCCACCGCCTAGCCGCCGCCGCCCAGCCGCCGCCGCCCTCGCACGTCGCCGCCATCGTCGGCCCGCGCCTGCCCGAGAGGTTCTGGCCGACCCGGGTGTCCCGACCAGCTGCATGAAGGAACGCTTCGGTTAGTAATAGTTAGCTGGAGTTATGACTAGTTAGTAACTCGTTATAACTAGTTACCGTGTTGGAGTTTTCGGAGTGACATGTTCGTTTGTTTGGCTTATACTTGAGGTTTTTTGGAACGTGCATTTTGTTTTTTGAGATTGCATGTTGTGTTCTTTGCATATCGATGTGTTTTATTTCT